AATCTATAACAGTGAAAAAAGTTTTTTTTTTTAAATCCAAGCTATTGTGACACCAGATGTATTTGGTGGCACTGACTGGGGAAATGGGCACAGTATGTACTGTGAGCCTGACACAGAAGCTGGCAGCAGTGGCAGACAACTGACTGCTATTCAATCTATAACAGTGAAAAAGTTTTTTGTTTTTAAATCCAAGCTATTGTGACACCAGATGTAATTGGTGGCACTGACTGGGGAAATGGGCACTGTGAGCCTGACACAGAAGCTGGCAGCAGTGGCAGACAACTAAGTGCATTTACATTAGATAGAAAAAAAAAATCCAAAAAAAGCATACCCTTATCCCTAACCTAGCTATGCTTTTCCCTATCTTATGAACAGCAGCTACACTTTCCCTCCTCTTACTAAGCATGCAGCTTGAGAATGAATCTAAAATGGATGCTGTCCAGTAGGTGGGAGGGTCTGCTAGGGAGGCTGTGCTGCTAATTGGCTGGAATGTGTCTGCTGACTGTGAGGTACAGGGTCAAAGTTTACTCAATGATGACGAATAGGGGGCGGGTCGAACCGCGCATATGTTCGCACGCCGTGGCGAACGCGAACATGCTATGTTCGCCAGGAACCGTTCGCCGGCGAACCGTTCGGTACATCACTAATTGCCTGTATTCAGACTGGCTATGGTGCTTTAAGTATTCATAAAAATATATTTGACTCAGCTGACTATCATAAAAAGTAAAATACAAATATTACCAAGACAATATTTTGTAAGACTTTTGAAGATAAAGCAAAGAGACAACAATTAAGACTACAAAAGAAAACAGGAAATGTAAAACAAGCTTAAGTGTTTAAAACTATTAATTTGTTACAACTAAATATGATAGTTCAAGCAGAAGTTAATAATTTATAAATGAAGAGATAAATTGGAAGAAGATAAAGGAGCAAAGCTAAGTGAAAAATAAAGCGAAGAAAAGAAAGCGCAATTAAAGCATTATAAGCATCAAAGGCGTGGAACAAGCGTTAACATCATAAAGGTCCGTTTGAACCTGGCTTAAAGGAGAATTTATTTTTTTTTCTCATCTCTCAAGATGACCACTAGGAAAGGGCAAGATAATAAACAGCCCATGAAAAGAGAAAGAAAGTTAGAATGCAAGTCAGATAGAAGGCTCTCTTCATCAGTTCCGCCGCAAATACAGAAATTGGAATTAGATCAACAACAAAATATATCAGATTCCTCCTCTCAATCATTTAAAGAAGCAGAACATCTATCTCCAAAGGGCACATCCTTAAACTTAAATCCAAGAGAATATAGTACGGATGAATTACATATTTATCTTGAGTCCTGTTTTGAACGGCAACTTGAGAAAATTAAAAAGGAGATACATGAAGGCCTGCTGGAATTCAAATTGGAGTTATCACAGATGGAAAAAAAACTCAAGCAATACGAAGAAAAAGTAGAATCAATGGAATTTCAGCAAGCAACAACAGAAGATATCTTGAGAAAGACAAATAAAAAGATAGAGGATATGGAACTCAAAATTGCAGATCTGGAAGACCGTTCCCGTCGCAATAATTTAAGAATCAGGGGAATCCCAGAATCTGTCAATAGTGACAAATTGCAAGATCATATCAGGGAGATTTTCGCACAATTGGGTATACAAACGATAAATTCATCAAACTTCCTGGAAAGAAGTCACAGAGTTATGAAACCGGAATATGTGGATCAAAGTAAACCGAGAGATGTGATGATCTGCTGTTCGTCTTACAAAATGAAAGAACAAGTTATAAAAGCATCAAGACTTACAAAGATGAAGGATCCACATAGCGACATCAGGATTTTTCCAGATATCTCCTATCACACTAGGATTAAAAGAAAATCGTTTGCAAATTACACAAAGATCCTGCATCAGAAGAACATTAGATATGCATGGCGATATCCCTGTAAGATTATCGTTACGTATGAAGCAAGGACATATTCCTTTTCAGACGTTACAGAATTTTCAATTGGACATTTAGGAGATGAGGATAAAGGACGCAGAAGAGAAGCTGAATAATTGGAAAACGAAGGAGTTTTCTATTTTTTTTTTTTTCTCTCCCCCCCTTCCTGGCTTTACTACCTATACCTGATCTAAGGGGAAGATAAAGAAGACGAAGATAGACTTTGTTAATTGACAAAATCTAAATTGTTACGCACTAGTAGGGTTTTTTCTTTGGGGAAGATTGTACATGCAAGTATTTTTTTTAGTTAACGTAAGATACTAGGTCTTTATACAATTGGTTCATAAAGTCACTACTGGCAGCAAAGAGACAGTTGCTGTTTCCGATATGCACTGTAATAATAGGATGTAAATTAATGATTAAGGAAGGATAAGTATAATAGCCGTTATATATGAAGAAATTTCACTGAAGAAGGAAACGGGAATAAATAATTATTAGAATAGATGAGGAGGGATATTGAATTTGCCTTAGAAAGAGTTTGAGAGGGAGATTTGAGGGTAAAACTTTTTTTTTTTTTGTGATAGTCCACAAACGAGCACTGATTTTTAGAGGAGAATTTAAATGATTAAGTTTCAAATCACAGCTTGCTAATTTTAAGCCGGATTCCACAAAATGAGTGTAAATTGATAAGTCACTGTTATTGCTATAAAAGTTATAAGAATATTGAATTAAATAGAGGTACTGAAGGGGTAGAAAAACAAAGGTTGATAATTGTCGCAAGGGGCTGGCTAATCTCTGAGGTTTATGTTGGATTGCATGATAATTTATGCTTATTAGAAGTGGAAGAATATAATGGGCCGGGTGTGAAGCCTAAGACCATCTAGGAGAAGAGAGGGTAAGAGGAGGAAGAAGGATTAGGTAGAGATTGATAAGTTTTTTTTTTTTTTTTCTCTCTCTTTATTGTTTAGAGTACCAATCGGGGTCCTAAATTTACTATCTGGCTCAAATACTCTCCAAAAGGGGTAGTTCAGTATCATTATAAGGATCCTATACAGGATCTATTTGGAGGTTCTGTGAAAGAGGGAATATCACAGGTCCATCCATACTTCCTTTAAGGGATGTTTCTTATAAATGTGGTTGTGAATGTAAATGTTTTGTGGTTTTTTGATTGTTATAAGTTGACGATGATGCAAATATATGACTCAGTAAAAAAAGACACCTATCCTAAAGGAGATGTGACTCTGAAAAGAGGTAAAAAAGGGAAAAAAAAAAAGAGAGAGGAGAAGATAGGAGAATGAGAGGGGAAAGAAAAAGGGAAAAGAGAAAAAGATAAGATAAATTCTCTATGTTTAATGTAGTTTCTATTAATGCACAAGGCCTGAATTCTCCACAAAAAAGGAAACTCCTAGCTGACCATATTAGAAGAGAAAATGCGCAAGTTGTAGGCATACAAGAGACCCATTGGAGAAGAACAGAAGAGGGGAAATTTAGATTTAAAGATTTCCCTAGTTCGGTATGCTCTTCCTGTAAAGATAAAAAAAAGAGGGGAGTAGCTATTTTTTTCTCTTCAACACTAAACGTTTCAATTATCTATTCCAAGATTGATCCGATGGGAAGGTGGATTATTTTAGTATGCACAATAGAAGATAAACTTTATACATTTGCTAATATTTATGCCCCAAACACCTCTCAGATACAGTTTTTATATAAATTTTTTGCGCAACTAAATAAAATCAAACAAGGCCATACTTTAGTTATGGGCGACTTCAATTTGGTAACTGATCCCAATATGGATAGACAGTCTGAAAAGTCTAAAATCCCCTCGAGGAACGCTATAAATCAGGCAAAAAAATTTAGGAACATAATACAGAATGAAGCTCTTTATGATTGCTGGAGGATTTTTCACCCTACAGAGAAAGATTTCACATGCTTTAGTAAGACTCATTGTTCTTATTCAAGAATTGATTTCATACTTGGAGATCGAAATCTGATAGAAAATGTGAAATCTTCTAATATAATCACGGTAACATGGTCTGATCACAATATGGTCAAAATACAATTAAAGAATAAATTTTTAAAGCAAAGGCCAGATTGGAAACTAAATGACAAGTTATTAATACCTAAAAACAATAGGGAACAGATCGCAAAGGCTATAGATCTGTATTGGCAGGATAACGACAACAACGAAGTGTCCTCAGTTACAAAGTGGTGCGCATTTAAAAGCGTCATAAGGGGGCACCTTATTAGTTTAGAAGCCGAGTCCAAGAAAATGCGACAGGAATCCCTCTCAAGTCTATATATTGAACTAAGTGAATGTTATAAAAAAAAATATTATGACACCTACAAGAATTATCTCGAATCAAATTAGGATAATATAAAATAAAATAAATGAAATTATGATCTCTAAAATAAACAGAAATCTCCAATATATGAAAATAAATTATTATTATAGGGGAAATAAGGCTGATAAATTACTTACCAACAAAGTTAAAAATTTACAAAAAAATAAATTAATTACAAAAATAAAACAGGGAAATGAAATAATATTAGACCCTAAAAAAATTGGAGAAGTATTTAGAAATTATTATTATAAACTGTATAATCTACCAGTTATATCTTCACAAGAGGAGATTGATAGGTATTTTCTGAATATTCACCTGCCCAAGCTGGATGATCATCAATTAGGACAACTGAATATAGAGATTTCTTATAAAGAAGTTTTTGATGCTATTGATGATATGAAAAAAAATAAAGCTCCAGGTCCAGATGGATTTACAGATTCCTTCTTTAAAACATATAAGGATAGGTTGACTCAGAGAATGGTTGATTGTTATAACCTGGCGATGACTACAGGTAATTTACCTAAAGAATTGCTGGCCGCAAATATTTTACCCATTTTAAAAAAATAATAAAAACTCAGAAGAAATCACTAATTATCGCCCAATAGCTCTATTAAATAATGATTATAAAATTTACGCTTCTATTATTGCTAAAAGAATTAAGAATATAATCTCCTCCCTGATCTCAGAAGATCAGGTAGGGTTTATACCAGGTAGGTCGTCTTCTAACCATATTAGGAAGATATTAAATATATTCTCTAAGATCCATATGAACAAAATTCCTTTTCTAACGATGGCCTTAGACGGAGAAAAGGCTTTTGATAGGGTCAGCTGGAATTTTATGAAAGCAACTCTTAAAGCTTTTGGGTTTGCAGGGCAGATTATGTCAGCAATTTTGGCTTGTTACTCTGTACCATCCAGCAGGATTGTCGGGGGCGGGATTAAATCTGATTGGTTTATGGTTTCGAATGGTACCCGACAAGGTTGCCCTTTATCCCCGTTGCTTTATATTTTAACTGCTGAACCTTTGGCATATGAAATACGAAATAATGTCGAAATATCTGGGTTTAAAAAGAGAGATAAACATTTTAAGATATGCCAATATGCGGATGACACTTTATTAACCTTAACTAATCCAACTAAGTCAGTAGTAGCAGTCATGCAGGTAATTGAAAGATATAGCCGACTGTCAAATTATAAACTGAATGTTCAAAAAACGACGGTATTACCCTTCTACATGAAAGAGGAAGATTATCAATATTTAACTAAAATTTTTGAATTTAGATGGGAAAAAAAGGGTTTTGTTTATCTGGGGATTAATATAGTGAAAAATCCTGGTAATACAATGCTGGCTAATGTAATCCCTTTGATTGGAGAATGTACTCACTCGTTAAAACAGTGGAATTCTATGCAGTTATCCTGGTGGGGTAGGGTTACCTTTATTAAGGCATATATTTTCCCTAGGTTTATATACCTTTTGAGGATGATTCCAATACAGATGCAGCCCCAACAACTAAAACTTATAAATAAGATCTTTAGGGATTATGTATGGCTTCAGAAGAAATCCAGATTAGGCCAGGATCTTCTATATATGAAATATAAGCATGGAGGTATTGGGTTCCCAAATATTTTTTTATACCATCAAGCAGCTCAATTAATGCACACTATCCCCCTAATCAAACAAGATAAAATCTCACAGAATTGGTTTGAAATAGAGGGGGAAGATATTACTATCCCATATAATATTGTAGAATTAATGTGGCCCTTAAGAAATAAAAGTCCAATTAGAAATATAGGTTGTTTTACGGACAATTTGATAACAAAACCGCTAGTAAAATTTTGGTCTTATTTTAAAAATCAATTAGAACTAAAAAATAAAATATTACCAGTTTTGCCCTTTAAAAGTCTAGAGGTCTGGATAGAAAATTTGCATATAACAGAATGGCTTGATAAGGGGATCAAAAAAATAGAGGACATACTAGAGGGGAATAGGATTATTTCCTTTCCAGAGTTACAGAGAATTTATGGTCTTTCTTCTTCACAGACTTTTAAATATATAAGGATCAGGAGCTTTTTACAAAGTTTCCTTGGCGGCATTTCAAAGTCACCTTCAGTTGCCAAATTAAATGCGTTGATAGACTCAGAGAAGGATATAAAAATATTAACTAGATGTGTAGTGATCATGAAAAGCATAAAAGGGTTTGTCCAGCCCTTAGCAAAAAGTAAATGGGAAAGAGATCTTTCAATAGAAATTAATATAAAAGATTGGAATAAGGCCCTTCATACAGTCTACTCTCTGGTACATTGCTTAAATATCAGGGAGGCTCATTATAAGCTTTTAAATCGTTGGTATATGACTCCAAATAAGATTCAGAAATTCTCTAAGGAAGAGTCTTCTAGTTGCTGGAGATGTGGCAGCGAGGGGGCAAATGAATTGCATATATGGTGGGAGTGTCCTCCAATTAAAGTAGCATGGGAGCATTTTATGGGCCATATAAATACTCTTTTGAACATCACGCATATTTGGACCCCAGATACTTTGCTCTTACATTTAAATTTACCGCTACTGACTAAAGATAAGAAATGTCTATTGATACATGCTCTGATGGCCTTTAAGATGTCCATAGCCAAAAATTGGAAAAAAAACCTAATTGATACATGGCCACATATTAAGACAATTATTATAACCCAAAGTAAAATGGAAAGGGGTATAGCATCTAGTTTAAACATTAATACCCGTTTATTTGAGATATGGGATAAATGGGTAAAGATTCTTG